CAGTATATTTCAGGTACAATCAGACTATTTAGAAAAATAAAATTACCCTCCAGAAGTAAGAAACAATGGGACTTGAAAATGGGCACCCAGCCGTTTATTTGAGCTTCCCAGGTGGCAATATTTTAAAAAATAAATAATCAGTAGAGAATTACCGTATTTGCCGGCGTATAAGACGACCCGGCGTATAAGACGACCCCCCACCACCACCAGAAACGCCCTCCAGAAATCCCCGGGGCTGCAGCGGCAGGGCGGAGTGCCAGGGGCCGTGGGAAGAGCAGGAAGGCTGCAGCCTCGGGCGGAGCGAGGCGAGCGGGATGAAGCGGAAGCGACGCAGGGGATCCGGGAAGCCAGAGGCGCCTTCGCTGCGTCCAACAAGCATCCGAAAGCCGGCAGTGGATATACCGGCGTATAAGACGACCCCCCCACTTGGAGGCATGTTTTTCGGGGCAAAAAAGTCGTCTTATACGCCGGCAAATACGGTATTTTGAATATATTTCTGAGGGAATTTTTCTATTTGTTTTCTGGGTTGTTTTCTGCATTGTGGTATTCGTGCATTGAAGTCATAATTCAAATGGATGTGGCCATTGCCAATTGATCTGCTATGGACTAGGCAGGAAAACAATGCAGAGTCGGTTTTTTAAAAAGTGGGGATGGGAGGGTCAGCTTCAAAGTAATTGTTAGCTGACTAATAGAATAGAGTGTCTACTTGCTTTTTCCCATTGTATCTCATCACCCGGAGAACAGGTTCTCCCATTGAGAATTATTCCTACAGCTACAGTTGGAAAACAACTTCAATCTCTTTTGCGTTCTTCCACTAGAGGCCAGCACAGCCTGTCCTTGAGGGCTAGCTTTATTAAAACTGCATCTTCCCTAGTGTAAAAATGTACCATAATTATTTTTATATTTTATCACTTAAACACTTATTACATTAAATCTTATATAATTTATATTATACATAAAATAATCATAATTGAAAAAATTACCACTTGAACACTATCAGTGCTGACAAAAACATCAGTCAATTGCAAAAGGCAGCTTTACTTTGGGCAGCTTACAATTTGTGATGACACCTCTAACACCATCAAATGTCAACATCTGCTTATGTGAGATGCTTGGTAGGTGGGCACTTCAATCGCTTGCCCCCTTGTCTCGAGGCAATGGGCTTAATTGAATGGCATGGTTTATTCTTTCTTTGCCACCCTGAATGTTTTAAGTCAGTGATCCCCAACCTTTTTTATGCCGCGGCCCGGTATCCCCAACCTTTTTTATGGCGCGGCCCGGTACCGACATCAGCTGGGCGCCGCCATCTTGTTTTGATGAAAAAGTACTTCCGGTGAGCTCACCGGAAGCACTTTTTCATCAAAACAAGATGGCGGCGCCCAAAGCTCACCGGAAGCACTGGGTGCCGCCATCTTGTTTTGATGAAAAAGTGCTTCCGGTGAGCTTTCTACCTGGAAAAGCTCACCGGAAGCACTTTTTCATCAAAACAAGATGGCGGCGCCCAGCAAGCCAGCGGCCCGGTAGGACTTGTTCCACGGACCGGTACCGGTCCGTGGACCGGTGGTTGGGGACCCCTGATGTACAGGACGTGGTTTGGGCTGCATTGATGTTGCCTGAGCTGCTTGTGCTAGGCATGTGCATGGATTGATCCAAAGGTTTGGCAGTGCTTCTGGATCAATTGAAATCAAAACATTGCCTTGAAAGTGTTGCCAGAATAAATCAGAGGGGGAGGAGGGGAAATAGATTCTGTGAAAACTATGGTGTTTTTTGAAGGTAACGAAATACTAAACAGTATTCAACGGTAGCACATAGGTGTTTTAATTGCTTTAAATCCTGAAGTTTAGGTTTTGGGGAGGCTTTTTTGACTGTGTTGGGGGTGGGAGGGATAGGACAAGATGAATTCTGAAGTTAACAATTGTGCCAAGCCTTAATTTGTGTCTACGCCAAATAATGAATAGTAATTGCTTTATTATGCTGTTGTTCCTAGTGATTTTGAGTAGACTTGGGGGAAATTTAAAAAAAAAATGTATTCCTTTGGAAATTAAAGAAGCAATTTAAAAATCAGTTGTTCTCAATTGCTACCATAAAGCATCCGTGGAATTAAATGGCTCAAATGTGGAAAAGAAAATGGGAATTTTGTCTTTGCAAAATAACTTTACTTAAGCAGTATATTTTACAACCACAAAGATTAATATTTCTTTTTAAACTTTACTACTTTGAAATCTGGAAGCTCTTTTGTGTCAGTGTGGTTTTATATTAAATTGACGGCATTGGTGTGCATCTGTTATGTCTGAAATCTGAAATTTAAAATTATGTTTCATCAAAACCAGTTACATATAATTATCAAAATAATTATTGCCTCTCTTAATGGGACAATGTTTGGAACCCAGTCTTCTTCATATTGAACAGAAATGAGACCAAAGTAATGGTAAATGTTTCCTGGAAGTGTACAGTCCTTTGCCCGCTAATATACGTTAATATACGTTAATACGTGATAATATAGGGGATCTACTGCCAAGTCTGCCCTTTTACAGGAAGCTGTGGTCTGTAGAAGAGTGGTCAAAGTAATAAACTTGTCTTTTGATATAATTTTGTGGCAGGCTAGCAGTTTATCTGTTTTGCTATATTTTGTAGTGGGAGGTTGCAGTACTTGATTCCAAATGGATACTTTGTCTAATTGGAAAAAGAAATGGCTGCTTTCAAAGAAACAGATAGACATTTTGGTGTGTGCACACCAGTCTCTTTTTCTGAATGGTTCCTACAGTTCTGTGTCACCCTCCTTTACAACTAAGAGTTAGCCAGCAGACTTAAGCTGGAAGCTGAAGAGCAGGGTTTTTTAGTACAAAACTGAAGGAGAGATTAAAGGCAAATGAGAGTTAATCCAAAAACAGTGTTTAAAGGCATTAGAGCTCAGGAGTTCTAGTTCTTTTTTTAATTAACCTGTACTGGGGGCTGAAAAGGTTTGTTTCTTTTTATTCCCGAGATCATCAGTGAGCCCAGCAAGGCTGAGATAGTTAAATACTACCATGGAAGATAATATATTGAGGAAGATCCTTTAAGATCATAGAAAACACAAGACACTAAGACAGGATTCCTCATTAATTGACATTTCTCATAATGGAGAAAAATCAATGAGCATTCCAGAAGAATCAGTGAATCTTTAAAATCATATTTATAAATATGCTTGAGGCAGAATAAGTTATCATGATCAATGGGAAGTCTTTGCAGATTTTAGAATGCCTTCACCTAGTCAAGGACAGGGTTGCTTGTTGTTTATGGCCCACCTGTAAAGCCCTGATAACCTGAGTTAATAGAAGCCTTGCACAACCAACCACAGCTTCCAAACAATCTAAATATCTTGAAAGAGATCAGAACTGAATTTAGGGGTCCAGACTCCTCAATTATGAGTCTATGACAAAGTTGCATCCCTCTGAGTTCAAGGAGCACAACCTCATATTATGAATGAGTTTAAGTTTTTAAAAAAAACTATTTGTAAGTTGCAAAAAAATAATCACAGTTTGCTATTTATCACGCCAGGCGGGTTTCACTATGCTGAGCTAATGGATTGTTCCTAATGTCACCCCCATTATCCGTAGCTGTCCCCTATCTCATCGTTTCTAGTTTAGATAATGAGAGTTAATACAGAATCTGCAGCACAAGTTTGTCTTTTCTGTTATTTACTTTTTGCAGATGGAAAAATTTGACCAAAGTGAATATATGTGAATATTTTTTTTTCCATAATGGGAAAACAGTATGCGGGATGAGGAGAGGGAGGGGTTTTACTGAAATAGAATTTTTGGAAAGTGATGAGGAAGGCTGAATAAAAAGATTAATAAATGATTTCAAGTTCTGTGTTAAGTATGAAATGTTTCAGAAGCTCTTAGAGGAAGCATTTTGAAATTTAAATATAATACTGCATTAAGGGTTCCATTTACTTTCTGTAGAAAGGCACACAGATACCATCATTTCCAAATATGTTTTATTTACTGGGCATCTTTTATAGTCTGTTAGTTCCATGCCATGTGCAAGTCATTTTTAAAAAAATTGCACAAATATACAATGTATCTCAATTACATTAATTAAAAGCAGTCTTTGTTTTCTGTCTGTGGTTGGCATTGACAAATATTCCTAAAGTTCATCTGTAAAAGAATTTAATATTATTAATTCTGAATGCACATTACTACAAAGCAAGACAATATTAAAAATGACCAGTATTCTCTTTCTTAAAAGTCATTCTCTCACCGCTCTTTTTTCTATCATCCCACCACTACAATATAATGAAATAGGAAACTATTTTTAAAAAATATATAAGGTTGCTGAACTGCACTCGGGATGTACCCACCCTCTGAATCCAACCAACTGCATAGGATTATGGAGACAACATTAGAGGAGATTTCCATGTAATGTTACCTCTTCAAGGCAGATAAACAAAACCAATCAACCCTCTTCTCTTCCCAGGGCAATTTCATGAACAACAGAAGTTTTTCCCGTGTCTCACCTTTTGGATGGGATGGGTTCCTGTCTGTCTTCTCCTTTCTGATACGATTTATTAGCTTCTGTATTTCAGAGTCATAATCTGTCCATTCAGGAACAATCCTGACAGCAGCTTCTAGTTTAGGTTCCTTAGTTTTGGGATTGTTGCACTGAAATATATATATGTATGTATATATATTTTAGGGAGAAAAGAGGCTTACTGTGATTTAAAGTCCAAAACAAAACCCTATCACTAAAAAAGAAAAATCACCATGAAAAGAACTACACATGTATTAAAATGAAAACGGGTGAGTTGCAAATTAGTTACATTATCAGAAATGTCACATGCTATGGACCAGATGAGATTAGTCCAGAATGTAAAAAATCCTAAGGTAAGTCAAGAATGTTTCCATGACCAGTGGCTCCAAATGACAAGCTGAGAAAGGATATATTTATTGTTTACAACTATAAATGCAAAACACAGGGCAGCCGTTTTGACGTTATTTTGCCATACATATCAAAGATGTAACCAAACCCATTAACATTTCTATTATTGGTACAATATTTATATTTTGCTTCCAATCCTAGCTGTTTTTATTCCAACCTTCCCTTCTTTTTTGCAGCCACAGATAAAACTTGTTCCAAGTATCGTAGAATTCTGAATTCCCCCCCCCTTGTCATTTCTAAAGTTCTAAAGTCTAATCGCATTCTGCACACGCCATTATTTTCCTTATTTTCTCTTTTCAGTGATATACTTTGATATTTCCAATATTGTGCATAAACCATTCTTGCCGCGGTCAATGCATGTATTATTAAGTATGTTGTACTTTGCTGTGGCCTTCTGTCATTAATTCTGGCTTAAATTGAATAATTCTGGCTTAAATTGAATGTGTTCTCCCACCATTTGCTCTACCCATGCATTTATCAATCTCCAATATTGTCTTGTGTGATTACACGTCCACCACATGTGGTAAAATGTACCTGGGAGATCCTTGCACTTCTAGCATTTTGGTGATATGACATGCCAGAAACCGGGGCGCGCAAACAAGCAAAGCCCCATCCACAGGCTGCAGACTGCATGTGAAACCACATAGCCCTCTGGTTCACGGAAAAACCTCTCTCCACGGAACCGGTCTGTGGTGCCCCAAAGGTTGGGGGGCCCCCATTCTGAAGTAAGCACCATTTTTGTTGCCTCCAATATTATTGCACAATGGAACTATGCTGACATACCAACAACCATTATGCAAATTACTCTGGGAAAAACCAGATATTAATATTTTATAGAGAACTTGTCATGCTTTCCAACTGCTACTCTATTAAGCTGCAGAAACATCTGGAAAGCATTTCTTTTATAAAAACAACCATCTGTCACCAGCTCTCAGGAACCCTCAGCCCATTTTTATTTTTTTATTTTAATTATTATTTTATATTTTTATTTATTTATTTATTTGGATTGGCTTGCTCCCAACTATCAGGACTACAATTTACAAAGGGCAAAAAGATGAACCTGGGATAAATCTTTGATAATTAAATTAATAAAACAGAAATCTAGCTAGAGAAATGGAAATAGCCAATAATAAGACGCTTTACATTCTGTCCCTTGATATTACAATCACCTCTTTTTGTTATAAAATGGAAACTATCCACAAAACTACTGCTCGATTAGCATCTGGTTGTATAGATAGTCCTTGACTTGCAACAGTTCATTTAGTGACCGTTCAAAGTTAACAGCACTGAAGAAAGTTGACTTAAGACCGTTTTTCACACTTGAGACCATTGCAGCATCCTCATGATCGCATGATTTCACTTCCGATGCTTGACAATTGGTAAATATATTTGACAGGTGCACTTGTTCTGACAAGCAAAGTCAATGGGGAAGCCACATTCATTTCACAACCGTGCTACTAATTTAACAACTGCAGTGATTCACTTCACAAATATGACAGGGAAAATTGTAGAATGGGGCAAAATTCATTTAACAAATTCCTCACTTAGCAACATAAATTCTGGGCTCAATGTGGTTATAAGTCGAGGACTACCTATATGTCAACTCATAAAATATTTATATGGTCTTTTTAGAGTTGCCAACAGAAAGAGGGGAGTAGCAGTGGGCAGCTTGCATTCCATAAATGTTTTCAAAGATAGTTTCTAGGTGGCCGAAGTTTCTGCCGTGCAAAATTCTAACTGGAGAGCATGATTGATGACTCTTGGCTATGGATGTGTCCCATTGGAGAATATGAATTATGACACATCCAGGGGTTGGGGAAAAACCAGGGTCAAGGGTGACAATGATGTGTCTCAGAGTTGGCTACACCCAGGCAGTGCCAGCATGTTTGCTCCTAATAAATATTTTAACTTTTGGAAGTTCGGCTCATGATTTAAATCGTGGTAACTGCTGGAGCCCTGACACTGCACTCTTTGCAATGGGTTAATGGGCTAACCCGTGTGTGATCGGGCTTTTCTCTTCTTCCAAGCTATGAGATATAAAGTAGAACAGAAATATGGAACAGTACTTCAAGATGCTCTGAGACAGAGGTGGTATTCAGCAGGTTCTGACCAGTTCTGGAGAACCGGTAGCGGAAATTTTGAGTAGTTAGGAGAACCGGCAAATACCGCCTCCGACTGGAGATTTTACAGTATCCTTCCCCTGCCAGGCCCACCAAGCCACACCCACAGAAACAGTAGTAAAAAAATTTGAATCCCACCACTGCTATGAGAAATAAATCCTGTTAATGCTGCCAATTCAGGCAGGACCCACAACGTACCACAATTTCATGATTTCCATGATTCACCTGTTAATTTTTACATGTAACAAAAATGGAGACAGAATTTTGACTCACAAATCTCTACATTACTGCTAATTAGGATTCCATGAGACAGTGGGGTGGGGAGGGAAATGCTGCTATGAAAAACTGCTTATAGCAGATTTTCCTAACCACTCCATTTTACACCCACTCACCAGATCAATGGTTTTAGCCTTTGCTTTGGATTCATTGCTGCACCAAGTTTCACACCATAGCCATTCTTGAGGGAGCGATTTAATCGGCACCTGATGAATCATGTTATTTGGAAGATCCTAAAAAGGTAAGATTTAGAACTGTTATTCGGAAAACAGTATGTAGTCCATTGTGCCCAATGTGGTATTTCCTCTTGCAGGTTGAATTATAATTGCCATCTAGCTCACACAATACAGGTATATTGGAGAACAAAAGTTGTAATACAACCTTTTAAGAGCACCCAGGCTGTTCCTTGGGAAGAGAGATGAAAATATCACACATAACCTTACCTTAGTTTGGTTTATTACTTTTTACTTTACTTTTGAATGTACCCCCCAGTCCAAGGATGTCAAACTCAATTTCATTGAGGGCTGCATCAGGGTTGTGTTTGACCTCGGGGGGCCGGGGGGGGGCATTGCCAGAGTGATCTTGGCCAGCTTGACATCATTTGTGTCAGGGCCGCCTGTGGTAGCCTAAGCACTCTACCAATGAAAATGGGCTCCTGAGCTCAGTTTTCGGCTACGACAGCCTCCTGCAACCCTCTGCCAGCGAAAACAGAGCTCGGGAGGGCCGTGCATGCGGCCATTCCAAGCTCTGTTTTCGCTGGCAGAGGCACCGCAGGCCAGTTCTTCGCTGTTTCCAGGGCAGCCCTGCAGGTCAGATCTAATAATCCTGGAGGTGATCCAGCCTGCAGGCCTTGAGTTCGATACCTCTGCCTTACTCAAAAATACAATACAAAATTCACTCAAAAATACCAGAATAAAAAAAAAATTAAATTGCAACAAAAATAAAAGTTAATAGAATAATAAACAAAAGCTAAGCAAGATATGTCAAATACTGGAAAATTAGTCTAAGATTAACCAAAGAGTGACCATGATAATCAAGTAACGAAGTTGAAGAAAACTCCTTCATTAACAGCAGCTAAACTAAATCTAGTGCGATACAAGTGTGGGGCTAAAGATAGAATTCATGTTTCTTTAACCCCATGGCTTGAGGTTATCATGGTAAACCTGAATTCTGAAACACTTTTCACTGGCAACCTTATCATAGATAGTAATCTCCCAAAAGAGGCTAGAGTAGTTAAGGGCCAGGTTAAAGATAACCTCAACTGGGGCAGACAGTACATTAACAGTATCCCTACATTGTCTTAAGACATCCAAACACAACAACATGAGGCTGTCAGAGTATATTCATGAACATGGTAACAAGGATATTCATAGAGCATGGTAACAAGGTAACATGCTCTGTAGGGGGCGTGCATAAGCGCACCAACGTGCCTACCGTCCCTGTCCTATTGTTTCTCTTATTCTTCTTTTATTTTTCTTATATGTACCCATTTCATGTATTCACAACTATGTATACACTTATGCTTATTATCTTGTAAACAATTGGCAAATCAAATAAATAAATAAATAAATAAAAAATAAGGTCAGCCAATGAATAGGCATAGCAACTGTCAGCCAATGAGGACTGCTTGAAAATTGAAACTAGATGTAGCCTAGGTGTAGCTCTATATTAAGCTCTGCAGCTCTGAAGCTATCTTAAGCTCTGAGTCTGTCTATTGAAAATGAAACTGCTTCTCTCCTCTGTTGTATGCCTTGTTTGCCTGCTGAACTAAAGTGAAACTGATGTCTGTTTCTCTGCTGAAGTTGAGTTGCTGTTCTGCTCTGAACAGGTAACATGTCTGCTTCTGTTTGAGTTTGCTCCATGTTGGAGAAAGCTAGAACTGGTATTGTAAAATTTACTTTATATGTTTATAAAGAAGCGCTGAATTTACGTTGCGATACTCTGAACAGAGGGCTTCACTCATCTCTCAAGCAGCTCTCTATAAATATGCCAGTTCAGCACTTTTTTAGCCAGGATGAAATCCTGGGTAACAGAGGTTTTTCTTGGTAGCATATATTATGGATTCCAGCATACCTGATCTAGGTTGGATAAACTGTTTGGATCCTGACTAAGTGCTTGATATTGACCTCGGAGTCTGTCGCCTGCAGCAATCTTCCGGAATATCTTCAGGTCCACAACATATAAAGCACTAACAAACAAAAAAAAAACAAAAAAAATATAACAATGCATTAGGGTTTGTTTCATGCCCTTGAAAAATGGGCTATTATCAAAATGTTGCTATTATCCCTGGTTGAAATACATAAAAAGGACATGAGGTATCTCTGTTTTGACATGTCCTTTAGTGAATCCCATTCAGTCAGATTTTCCATGCTTAACTTTTGACAGAAAGATAAAGTCTATTGATTTGTACATGGAGAGAGAAGAGGAACAGATTTGCCTGCTTTTCCTACCTGATGTGATACTTCTTTTTCCCAAGGTGTGAAGCCCAATATCCTGACTTCCAGAAACGGTAGCCATCCATTTCTTTACGACTATCACAGAAAGGAGTGTAACCATAAGGTGCGCCTCTTAAATTTAGATCGCGGA